GCCAGCAACAATTGCTGACACTACACATCCAAGTATATCTGACCAAATTATGAAAGACAAGCATTGTAATTTTGAATTCCGTAAAGTGAGTGTGGAAGAGGTGAAAAAATTATTGTTGTCTATTAACAATGACAAGCCACCGGGGTCTGACAACTTGGATGGAAAATTGCTGAGGATAATAGCGGACGATATTGCCACTCCTATTTGCCATATTTTCAACTTAAGCCTACTAGAATGTGTGTGCCCCAAGGCTTGGAAGGACGCAAAAGTCATTCCGCTACCTAAGAATAGTAAAGCCCCCTTTACTGGCTCAAATAGCCGACCAATTAGCCTGTTACCAACCCTTAGAAACTATTGGAAAAAATTGTGTTTGACCAGATACAATGCTATTTTATGTAAACAAATTGACAACAAACTTTCAGCATGCTTATAGAGAAGGACATTCAACAAGCACAGCCCTTACACAAATGACTGATGATTGGCTGAGAGAAATTGATGATAAAAAGATTGTGAGGGCTGTTTTGTTAGACTTCAGTGCGGCTTTTGACATTATCGATCATAGTCTGCTGCTATAATGTGGATAAAGAGTTACTTGTCTAACACATAGGCTTATTGGAAGCCTCTCAAACATAATCCAGGTAGAATCAGGAATTCCCCAGGGCAGCTGTCTAGGCCCCTTGCTTTTTTCCATCTTTACTAACGACATGCGACTAGTGTGTCAATGTATGCGGATGACTCAACACTATACACGTCAGCTACTACAGCAACTGAAATAACTGCAACACTTAACAAAGAGTTGCAGTTCGTTTCAGAATGGGTGGCAAGGAATAAGTTAGTCCTAAATATTTCCTAAACTAAAAGCATTGTATTTGGGTCAAATCATTCACTAAACCCTAAACCTCAACTACATCTCGTAATGAATAATGTGGAAATTGAGCAAGTTGAGGAGACTAAACTTCTTGGAGTAACCCTGGATTGTAAACTGTAATGGTCAAAGCATATTGATACAACAATAGCTAAGATGGGGATAAGTATGTCCATAATTAAGCGCTGCTCTGCCTTCTTAACAACTCCATCAACAAGGCAGGTCCTACAGGCCCTAGTTTTGTCGCACCTAGGCTACGGTTCAGTAGTCTGGTCAGGTGCCACAAAGAAGGACTTGGGAAAATTGCAGTTGGATCAGAACAGGGCAGCACGGCTGGCCCTTAAAAGTACACGGAGAGCTAACATTAATGACATGCATGTCAGTCTCTCCTAGCTCAGAGTGGAAGAGAGATTCACTTTATCACTGCTTGCTTTTGTAAGATGTGTTGAAAAGCTGAATGTACCGAGCTGTCTGTTTAAACTACTATCACACAGCTCAGAAACCCATGCATACCCCACAAGACATGCCACCAGAGGTCTCTTCACAGTCCCCAAGTCCAGAACAGACTATGGGAGGCGCACAGTACTACATAGAGCCATGACTACATGGAACTCTATCCCACATCAGGTAACTGATGCAAGCAGTAGAATCAGATTTTTAAAAACAGGTAAAAATACACCTTTTGGAAAAATGGGGACTGTGAAGAGACACACAATAGTATAGACATGCATACGTGGTCTGTAGCTTGAACCCTGTTGTGGTTATATACAGTGGCTTGCGAAAGTATTCACCCCCCTTGGCACTTTTCCTATTTTGTTGCCTTACAACCTGGAATTAAAATGGATTTTTGGGGGGTTTGTATCATTTGATTTACATAACATGCCTACCACTTTGAAGATGCAAAATATTTTTTTTGTGAAAAAAAAACAGAATACTTGAGCGTGCATAACATTTTTTTTTTTAAGCACTGGCTTTTTTTCTGGCCACTCTTCCATAAAGCCCAGCTCTGTGGAGTGTACGGCTTAAAGTGGTCCTATGGACAGATACTCCATTCTCCGCTGTGGAGCTTTGCAGCTCCTTCAGGGTTATCTTTGGTCTCTTTGTTGCCACTCTGATTAATGCCCTCCTTGCCTGGTCCGTGAGTTTTGGTGGGCGGCCCTCTCTTGGCATGTTTGTTGTGGTGCCATATTCTTTCAATTTTTTAATAATGGACTTAATGGTGCTTTGTGGGATGTTCAAAGTTTCAGATATTTTTTTATAACCCAACCCTGATCTGTACTTCTCCACAACTTTGTCCCTGACCTGTTTGGAGAGCTCCTTGGTCTTCATGGTGCCGCTTGCTTGGTGGTGCCCCTTGCTTAGTGGTGTTGCAGACTCTGGGGCCTTTCAGAACAGGTGTATATATACTGAGATCATGTGACAGATCATGTGACACTTAGATTGCACACAGGTGGACTTTATTTAACTAATTATGTGACTTCTGAAGGTAATTGGTTGCACCAGATCTTATTTAGGGGCTTCATATCAAAGGGGGTGAATACATATGCACGCACCTCTTTTTCGTTTTGAAACAAGTTATTTTATTCATTTCACTTCACCAATTTGAACTATTTTGTTTATGTCCATTACATGAAATCCAAATAAAAATCAATTTAAATTACAGGTTGTAATGCAACAAAATAGGAAAAACGCCAAGGGGGATGAATACTTTTGCAAGGCACCGTATTGTTGTATGTTGGTATTAAACATTTTGTATTGTATTGTAGATATATTTTGTTTTATATGTAATGTAAGTGCTTTAATATGTTTGGACCCCAGGAAGAGTAGCTGCAGCAGCTAATGGGGATCCCGAATAAATACAAATACAAATGCATTCAAGCCAAATAGTTAAATCTTGGTTTCATCAGACCAGAGAATGTTGATTATCATGGTCTGATAGTCCTTTAGGTGCCTTTTGTTAAACTCCAAGCTGGCTGTCATGTGCCTTTTACTGAGGAGTGGCTTCCGTCTGGCCACTCTACCATAAAGGCCTGATTGGTGGAGTGCTGCAGAGATGGTTGTCCTTCTGGATGGTTCTCCCATCTCTACAGAGGAACTCTGGAGCTCTGTCAGAGTGACCATTGGGTTCTTGGTCACCTCCCTGACCAAGGCACTTCTCCCCCGATTGCTCAGTTTGGCCGGGCGGCCAGCTCTAGGAAGAGTCTTGGTGGTTCCAAAGTTCTTCCATTTAAAAATGATGGCCACTGTGTTCTTGGGGACCTTCAATGCTGCAGACATTATTTGGTACCCTTCCCCAGATCTGTGCCTCGACACAATCCTGCTCTGACATGCACTGTCAACTGTGGGACCTTATATAGACAGGTGTGTGCCTTTCCAAATCATGTCCAATCAATTGAATTTACCACAGGTGAACTCCAATCAAGTTGTAGAAACATCTCAAGGATGATCGCATCTTTCGCATCTCATAGCAAAGGGTCTGAATAATTATGTAAATAAGGTTTTATTATTTTTGTATTTTTTTGCAGAACATTCTAAAAACCTGTTTTCGCTTTGTCATTATGAGGTATTGTCTGCAGATTGATGAGAAAAATATATCATGTAATCCATTTTAGAATAAGGCAGTAACTTAACAAGTTGTGGAAAAAGGGAAAGGGTTTGAATACTTTCTGAATGCACCGTATATATATATATATTTTGTATGTGTTTAAAGTACTTTGCTTCCTCTTTCAAAATATAGTGAATCATGGATGGCTCCGTCGTTTGTAACAAGTATCTGTAAATTATTTCATTAACATTTCTATATTCTAGATTAAAAAATAATTTGGTGTATTTTTCCCTTTATTCCATCTAGTTCACTTTATTTTTATAATACACTTGATCTTTCTTGAATAAGTTCCTCCATTACCATGCTAAACATTACCATGATCTCCACATACAGTTCCTCCCAACTCCTCCTCTCACTTCCTTTCAAAACCACAAGGTGGCACTCTAACTCTTTCTGGGAGTCACAACCGCTCTCTCTTTCTCTCCTCCTCTCTCTCTCTCTCTATATAAATATATCTATATATCTATATATATATAAATATTCCTCTCTCTCTTTCGCGCGAGGCTTTATTGCGGCGCTCTCTCTCTCTCGCGGCGCGCGCGCGTCGCGCAGCGCTATAGATATAGAGAGATATAGAGAGTTGGCGCGCGCTCGCGCGGGCTCTCGGACGCGCGGGAGGGTCGGGCGGCGATTCGCTCGCGAGAGGGAGAGAGAGGAGGGAGGGAAGGCGCGGAGGGGAGGGAGAGAGCTCGAGAGTCGGAGAGTAGAGGTCCTCTCTCTCTAGGACAGTCTCGTCTCTCGTAGTCTCTCATCTTCAGTCTCTGCTCTCATCTCTCTTCTTCTCTCTCTCTGTCTCTCTTCTCTCCTCTCTCTCTCTCTCTCCCTCTCTCTCTCTCTCTCTCTCTCTCTCTCTCTCTCTCTTCCATGTCAGGTCAGGTCTGGACACTGAAGTAAAACAGATGGTGGAAACTCTTCCCTCTTGCCCTCAGCAACACACACATAGTCACCCACTGGCACACACACACCAGAGCGAGAGAGAGATCTTATCAAACATTGGACAGTAGCGTTTGTCATCTGTTTTTCATAGTGCACTTAAACTGAGTGTGTATGATATTGATACAACATGAGTACAGTTACACTGTGTAGACCGATGTTACATCATGTGTAATACATGTATGTTTACTAGGTAGGCTGTCAAAAAAACGACAGTTGATTTTCCCTTTTCCAGATGTTTGCCATAAGGTCCCTTAGTCAATGGGAGAGGCTGACAGGATCACACTAAAACAAAACAAAGATGTCACAACATCAAACTACAGATGTAGGTCTATAAGAATAGTGTGTTTCTTAGAAGAGGAAGGCGCGTCATCTCCTCTTCTTCCTCCCTCCTCCTCTTCTTTGAGAGGCGTTCCATTTGCTGCTGCGCGCCCCCGTGTTGGTTCGGGACTAACGGAATTAGAACATTGACTGAGCTCCGGTTTCATCCATCTTCTGAAGTTCAGTTCGGAGGTTCGGGTTGGAGCTGGTTGGAGACGGTTGGGGGTGTTTCGGGTTTTTGGGTTTGAAAGTTGAGTTTTAACCGAACAAAAGACCATGGAGGCTCACGGAGTTCTCTCTCTGCTGTGCGTCGCGCTGTGTGCTGGGGCGCTCGCACAGCAGACCAACAGACCCAAGTTCTGGGGTGAGTTTATAAAGTTTGTTTCTATGTTCCGGGGGGTTCCAGTATTGTCTGTCTATGTATGCTATGTAATTAATAGGGAACTAAACAAGCTCTTTGGGATGAGAAACACGTTAGAAACCACAGAGAGTGAGAGAGCGAGAAAATGGGGATGGTTTCTGGCGAGCCTCTGCATCTTGGCCAGATGTTTCGTTGGAAGTTAGCAATAGCCTGTAGGAGCTAAAGCGAATTTAGTAAGACAGACAATGCTAAAATCATATATTAGGCCTTGCCTAAGATAACAGAATTGCTGAGCTGGTTTGTCATTGGTCCCACTGTAGTTTGGCTAAAGTCGATCTATCTCTCTCTGCTGCAAATGATGCTTAGAGTGGGATCGGCAATATGCTACCCTCCCCACATCCTAACCTACCACTAGGGGAGTGAAACTGACCTTAGGTCAGTGTTAGGGTTAATCAATCAATCACTCAATCAATCAATCTGTGTAATTTGCTGGGATTTGAATTGAAATCCTATGCAGGATGCAGAATCTTAATATGTTTGAGGTTGATTGAATCGAGGCCTTAGTCTAAACATATTGTAGTTGAAATATTTCCTTTTATTTTATTCTTTAAAGTAGTACGATTTAGTACAATTCCTACAACAGTTTTGTACTTTTAATTTAGTTTTAGCCTTTTAGTCAGATTTTATGACCAGCTTCATTACATTTGGTGGCAGCAGTGGGATTTAGGCCTCCTTAACAGCAATAGTTAGCAACCAGCTAGTTGCCAGCTGAGCCGGCTCCACCGATTTCCCCAATCAGCTAGATCAATTAATCAATTAATTAACTAATCAATTAGAACCGGCAAACCAGCTCTCTAACCTTGAGGCTACCGCCATTGAGTAACAAATGTTATTGTGTGACTGTGTGTATATGAATAGTTTAATTCCAAAACGCTATATATCCATTTTCAGAAATGTAGGTAAATTATATTTTATCGATTTAAAGAAATTATGAAAGAGATTGGTGTTTTTTACATTTACATTTACATTTTAGTCATTTAGCAGACGCTCTTATCCAGAGCGACTTACAGGAGCAATTAGGGTTAAGTGCCTTGCTCAAGGGCACATTAACGTCATTTAGCAGACGCTCTTAGCCAAAGCGACTCACAAAACACCCTATAGCCAGTGGGACTGGTGCGTTCACCCTATAGCCAGTGGGACTGGTGCGTTCACCCTATAGCCAGTGGGACTGGTGCGTTCACCCTATAGCCAGTGGGACTGGTGCGTTCACCCTATAGCCAGTGGGACTGGTGCGTTCACCCTATAGCCAGTGGGACTGGTGCGTTCACCCTATAGCCAGTGGGACTGGTGCGTTCACCCTATAGCCAGTGGGACTGGTGCGTTCACCCTATAGCCAGTGGGACTGGTGCGTTCACCCTATAGCCAGTGGGACTGGTGCGTTCACCCCTATAGCCAGTGGGACTGGTGCGTTCACCCTATAGCCAGTGGGACTGGTGCGTTCACCCTATAGCCAGTGGGACTGGTGCGTTCACCCTATAGCCAGTGGGACTGGTGCGTTCACCCTATAGCCAGTGGGACTGGTGCGTTCACCCTATAGCCAGTGGGACTGGTGCGTTCACCCTATAGCCAGTGGGACTGGTGCGTTCACCCTATAGCCAGTGGGACTGGTGCGTTCACCCTATAGCCAGTGGGACTGGTGCGTTCACCCTATAGCCAGTGGGACTGGTGCGTTCACCCTATAGCCAGTGGGACTGGTGCGTTCACCCTATAGCCAGTGGGACTGGTGCGTTCACCCTATAGCCAGTGGGACTGGTGCGTTCACCCTATAGCCAGTGGGACTGGTGCGTTCACCCTATAGCCAGTGGGACTGGTGCGTTCACCCTATAGCCAGTGGGACTGGTGCGTTCACCCTATAGCCAGTGGGACTGGTGCGTTCACCCTATAGCCAGTGGGACTGGTGCGTTCACCCTATAGCCAGTGGGACTGGTGCGTTCACCCTATAGCCAGTGGGACTGGTGCGTTCACCCTATAGCCAGTGGGACTGGTGCGTTCACCCTATAGCCAGTGGGACTGGTGCGTTCACCCTATAGCCAGTGGGACTGGTGCGTTCACCCTATAGCCAGTGGGACTGGTGCGTTCACCCTATAGCCAGTGGGACTGGTGCGTTCACCCTATAGCCAGTGGGACTGGTGCGTTCACCCTATAGCCAGTGGGACTGGTGCGTTCACCCTATAGCCAGTGGGACTGGTGCGTTCACCCTATAGCCAGTGGGACTGGTGCGTTCACCCTATAGCCAGTGGGACTGGTGCGTTCACCCTATAGCCAGTGGGACTGGTGCGTTCACCCTATAGCCAGTGGGACTGGTGCGTTCACCCTATAGCCAGTGGGACTGGTGCGTTCACCCTATAGCCAGTGGGACTGGTGCGTTCACCCTATAGCCAGTGGGACTGGTGCGTTCACCCTATAGCCAGTGGGACTGGTGCGTTCACCCTATAGCCAGTGGGACTGGTGCGTTCACCCTATAGCCAGTGGGACTGGTGCGTTCACCCTATAGCCAGTGGGACTGGTGCGTTCACCCTATAGCCAGTGGGACTGGTGCGTTCACCCTATAGCCAGTGGGACTGGTGCGTTCACCCTATAGCCAGTGGGACTGGTGCGTTCACCCTATAGCCAGTGGGACTGGTGCGTTCACCCTATAGCCAGTGGGACTGGTGCGTTCACCCTATAGCCAGTGGGACTGGTGCGTTCACCCTATAGCCAGTGGGAAAACCACTTTACTCAGGAACCATCTCTCTCTAATCATGGTGTGGAGTTGTTCAATGACACTTCATGGTTTCATTTCAGAGAGACAAATAATCATGTTTCTTTACAAAATGCCATTTATACACCTCACCCACATGAAAAAATACTATAGTTTACTAGAATATAAATACTGTACTATTACAATAGTTCAAAAACTGTAGTGTTTTTTAGGACTGTAGTGTTTTTGAGAACCGTATTGTAGAAATGACTATAGTGTTTTTGCATATATTACTGTAGTATACTATAGTATTTCCAGTTTACTATAGGATAACTACTGTAGTATTACTATATTTAAAAAACAATAGTATATATTATAGTAATTACTGTAGTGTTTTGCAGATTGCAGTATACTGTAGTATTTACTAGGTTGTTTTTGTGAGGTGAGGTCTTTCTCCTAGACAAATACTGAAAGAGCACATTTTCCATAAGCTGTAGGTAGGTAGGACTGGAGTCTGACCGGATAGTTCAGAGCTTCTGCTCTTTTCTATAACCTGTAGGGTTACAATATATATATACAATATATGGTCTACACTCTTAGAAAAAAGGTGCTGTCTAGAACCTAAAAGGGTTCTTCGGCTGTCCCCATAGGATAACCCTTTTTGGTTCCAGGTAGATCCCATTTGATTTCCATATAGAACCCTTTCCACAGAGGGTTCTACATGGAATCCAAAAGAGTTCTACCTAGAACCAAAAAGGTTTCTACCTGGAACCAAAAAAGGTTACAGCTAAACAGTGGATACATAGCGTTTTGCAAAAAAAAATAACAAAATTCATACACATATAAAATCTAGTAATTAAAAATCTGAGAACACTAATATTTTACACACACATGAAGATGTGTAAAATAAGCAATCATTTCTGATGAAAAAACACGTGAAGAATTGTTGGATATAGCGTTTTGGAAATGAACTCTTCATATACAGGTATCAGGTGTTTGTTTCTCTTGAAGATATTTCCTATGTTTATGTTTACTTTGGTGTGTGTGTCAGAGTGTCCGGTGGACCTGTTCTTTGTGCTGGACACGTCTGAGAGTGTTGCTCTGAGGGCCAAGCCTCCCAACTTCTACATCGACCAGATCAAGACCTTTACTGAACGCTTCATCATGGAGCTCAAAGAGATGTAAGATACACACACACAATGACCTTCCATTACAGAACACTAATACTACTTGATGAGAACACAGTATTGTTCATTGTGAATGTGTACACTTAAAAAAATGCTGTGTTGTTTGGATGACCCTACTGTTGGGTTGCAGGCATTGGGTAACTTAGTCGGGTTGTTTTCTTTACGAAAGAGCAAGGTTGGGTTGTTGATGCTGGGTTATTGAGATATGACCCAGTGGGTCAGATCAGAAGACTGGGGACGTATCTTAGTAGGGGAGTGTGGCTTTCGGATAGTTATTTTTGGCCTCCCGTGAGAGGAAATGCCATTCCGGTTAATTCCGAAAAGTTTATGACTATACCAATGTTGGGATACTTTGTTACAATATGTATCAAATCAAATCAAATCAAATGTTATTTGCCACATGCGCCGAATACAACAGGTGTAGACATTACAGTGAAATGCTTACTTACAAGCCCTTAACCAACATTGCAGTTTAAGAAAAAAAATGAAAATAGCAAATAATTAAAGAGCAGCAGTAAAATAAAATAACAGTAGGGAGGTTATATACGGGGGGTACCGGTACAGCGTCAATGTGCGGGGGCACCGGCTAGTCGAGGTAATTGAGGTAATATGTACATGTGGGTAGAGTTAAAGTGACTATGCATAAATAATAAACAGAGTAGCAGCAGCGTAAAAAGGATGGGGTGTGGTTGGGGTTGGGGTTGGGGTGGGGTGGGGTGGGGGGCAATGCAAATAGTCCGGGTAGCCATGATTAGCTGTTCAGGAGTCTTATGGCTTGGGGGTAGAAGCTGTTGAGAAGCCTTTTGGACCTAGACTTGGAGCTCCGGTACCGCTTGCCGTGCAGTAGCAGAGAGAACAGTCTATGACTAGGGTGGCTGGAGTCTTTGATAATTTTTTGGGCCTTCCTCTGACACCGCCTGGTGTAGAGGTCCTGGATGGCAGGAAACTTGGCCCCAGTGATGTACTGGGCCACACACACTACCCTCTG